TATCAAGAATAAGCAGAAACCTTGAAAATTCACAATTTTGAATTTAGAAGAGAAATTTCAACAATTACACTGTTATAAATGGAAACTGAGACCACACAGTGTAAACTACTTCATTAGAAAGTGTAAAAATCAGTAGACACTTTGTATTTTTGTTGAACTAGTTTTAGTTATAAACAAAAGACCTAAGTGTTTTGTTAAAACTACTCTGTTGTTCAAAATTAAGTAATTTTATAAGGGTCTAGAAAGTGAGAGACTATTATAGAACTTGCATGCCTTTCTGAAGATATTTTAGAGAAACAAAACAACTTTGCTTTCTATGAGAACATACAATTATTGAGTAAGGGTAAAAACAGGAGTCTGAGACATTAGTCTTGGCAGCTCTCACTCAGCCCAGATTTAGTCATTCAGACATGTTTGTTTAATCATTCAAGCACTGTTATCGTCCATATCAGCTTTTCCAAAATTTGATTGAACTTGCTTTATTCACCAAAATATCATGGTAAATGTTGAACATTTGAAAAGGATGCGTTTTCTGCTGTTGTTTGGTAGAATGTTTTATAAATGTCAATCAGACAGGTTAGTTGACAGTGTTGTTCAAGGCTTAAGAGTTCTGGTTAAGAGTTTAAATTTTTAGAGATTCAAGCCTTTACATTTCTACTGCAATATGCTTACATATTCTCTGACTACTTGTTCTATCAGTTGTAAACAAAAGGATATTGAAGAGAACAAACAAGATGGCAGATCAGGTGGAGGTGCAGTGAGGATCTCCGTCAGCAACAACACAGAATACTGGACAAAGCAGGCTCAAGGGATGGTGCCAGAACTCTGAACCACTTATAAAGGGATATTTATAACGTTGGAAGGCTTACAGCCAGTGGAATATGTAGCAGAAGAAAGAAATCCAGTGCTTTCTAATCCAAGGCACTCAGCTGCTCCAGGAGCCACCATCTTGGGTGAGACCAAACCAGAGCAGCCACAGACGCCTGATAGAACCGCGGATATAAAGGAAGAAGAATGAAAAGGGAAGCCTTCCTGATCACATCTACTTGGAGGCAATCAGAAAACATAAAAAATACCAAAACACAAACCCATCTAAGTTTTGAGGCCACAGCTAACCACTGATATGCCAAAAAAACAGAAACAGGTGACTATATTGGCACATGTCCACAAACAGGATAAAGTGACTGAGGCAAATGAGCTGGAAGTAGACCTATACTCCAAACTGGAAGATGGGCAGGCTTTGGAAATGCCTGAGAAGGAATTCAGGAAAATGAACATAAAATATATCAAAACACTTTACAATGGAATTGAGAAAAATAAGGAAGAAGTCAGATCAGGAAAGCACTACAAGAGCAATCAAAAAAGATAGATACAACATTGGAAACAATTCAAAACCTACAGAAAGAGATACAAATGATTAATAATAGAATATCAGAAATGGACAAAGGAGTAGAACTGAAGAAATAGAAGCCAGAACTAGTGAGCTGGCAATACCACTAAGATAGAAGAAAAAACAGAAAAAAGGATTAAAAATCTGAAGAAGGTCTAAGATTCATGTTGGATTATATGAAGAGGAATAACTTAAGACTTGTTAGCATTCCAGAACAGGAAGAATCACACAAGTCCACAGAAAAGATAGTTGAAGAAATTTTCTTCTAGAAGAAAATTTCCCTAACATCCTGAAAAGTGAAAAGATAAGCATTCAAGAAGCTCAATGAATCCCAGGAAGGATAGACCCGAAACGAAAAACACAAACTCTCCAAAATCAAAGATAAGGACAGAATCCTGAAGGCATCTAGGGAAAAGAGAAATGTAACATACAAAGGCAAGCAAATCAGACTAAGCTTGGATTTTTCAACAGAAACCATGCAGGCAAGAAGACAATGGGGAGCCATATATAAAACCCCGAAAGAAAAATATTGCTGACCAAGAATCCTCTACTCAGCAAAGATGTCAATCAAATATGAAGGTGTAATCAAAACATGCCAGCATAAACAGGAGCTAAGGGATTTTGCCAAAGCCAACCCTGCAATGAAAAACATCCTATAGGGAGTTCTGTGGACTGAGAACCAACAAGAAAAGACAACAACCAGAGACTGACATACGTGGCAGCATCACCCAGAAGTCAGTTGACAAATGGCAGAGTTGAGAACAGAATAAAATTATAATAACAAATTCAGAGGATCTAGGAGGTCTGTCTATGATCAAAACAATTACATTGTGAAGGAAGGTAAACACAGAGGAACAGAGATCTAGGTGATGGGAAGGTCAGGTAAATCACAGGATAAAACAAACTGTCTTAAATGAAGGGAGAAGTTAAAGGAATATAAGCTAACCACAATGGTGGGGGTGGGGTTGGGGGTTTCAAGGGACATGGAGGGAGGCAACAGTAGAGCACAGGGTAAAGGCAGACACATCATAGTTCGGGTGTTGGAGAGGGCAATAAAAGAAGGGCAAGGAGGTGGAAGAACAAAGTAGATAGGGGAACACTGAGACAGGTTTGCATGGCCTAAGTGGGACAGAAGTAAATAGTGATGCATGCTTAATCTTGGAACTACAGGGCTCTGTGATACAGGGATCTAGGCATAGTTTGAAGAGGAGAAATAATACTAAGATGTTTGACTGTCTTATCAATATTGGTTTCCTTTGCTTACTATTGTAAAATAGACACTTGAGTGGGATAAAAAGGAATGTCAGGAAACATGATTATAGAAAACTTGTAAGCCCATATTCAGCCTATAACTGATTGGAATACCTACATGGGGTTCTACAACTTGCCCAGTGAAATAGGCCTTTTGAAGAGCCTTTGCAGAGTATAGGGCCTTAGATGGAATTCTTAGTCCCATCCAGAACCTTCTGAGGTGGCTTGATAATCAGAACTCAACTAGAGGAAGAAAAAAAAAAAATTTTTTTTGATAAAGGAAACAAGGGTAAATTGCTACAATGTGATGAACTTGACCTATTCTCATGATGGCAGTAACTCTAAATACCATGAGAAGGGAAGGAGTCTTCACATCAAGTATCAATGCTATCCCCTCTGTACACAGGATAGATAGGGACGGGCAACTTAGACATTGGCTACCTAAAATGAGGGGGCGATAAAGGCATGAAGTGACTGGCTTACAAGGTTTCAAAAGGGAGTTTAAGAGTATGTGGGAGAAGAAAGGGTCCCTACTGAATAGTTGTCATATTGTCTAGATGGGTCTGGTTAAAAGAGATGGGGATAAGAGTCTTATGATTCAATAGTGAGTAATTGTTATCAAGACTAATTGCGACTGTCACAATTGTAAAGGTAGAAGTTTTGTAACATAAATGGGGGAGCAGTTAAACTTACAGTCCAGAAACAAAAGATCCTAGGACCATCAAGGGGGAAGAGCGCAAACAGATGTTTGACCTTATCCTGAGAAGCAGTGACACCAGAGATGGGGACATGGAGAGAGGGAGCAGTTGAGGACTCTAGATTCATAGGAAGAGTGGGACTAAAAGATGGTGGCCATGAGGCAGACTTGTAGAATGTGCCCCTTGGTGATATAAATCATTATATATGCCTGAGTGGTTTTTGTTTGTTTTTTTAAAGAGCTAAAGTGAACAGAGAGAAATACTGTTAACTGATGGTGCAGGGAGGGGAGTGTAATCATTATGATGATACATGTTGTTGTATGATTTGTTGAATGTAAAACTGATGATCAGTCCTGTAAACTTTCACTCAATCCACAATAAAAACTTAGAGAGAAAAAAAAGTTAAAGGATATTGAAATCTCTGCCAAGATTGTGTGTCTTAAGCTATTGATTTCCATTCTTTCCTCCATTATAATATAAGTACTCAGAGCTATGAATCCTCCTCTAAGCCTTGTTTTAGCTGCTTCCCACAGACTTTTATATGTCTTATTTTCTTCTCTCTCTTTTGAAAAAATGTTTTCTAATTTCCTTTGAAACTTCTGTTATACATTAAATTGTGTCTCCCCAAAAGATGTGACAACTTGGCTAGGATATGAGGTCCAGAAATTGGGCCGTTATGGAATGATGTAACCTGGCAGCTGTGTGATGATTCCCCATGATGTGATCTAATGTGAGAAACTAACAACAGTAAGAAGGGTGGGCTGCAATGCCCTTAATCCCATCACAGTTCTGATCAGTTGTAAGGGAGTTTTCTAGCAGTGTGGCTTACACGGTCTTTGATCTTACAAAAATAAAAGGAGAGAGAAGTGAGCAAAGAAAGAGTAACCTGCTACCACCAAGAAAGAAGAGCCAGGAGTGGAGCACATCCTTTGGATTTTCCTACATCCAGGGGAAAATGCCCAAACACATGGAGATCGCCAAGGCATGGTGGGCCTACAGGTTCTGAAAGGAGACAAGGACCTTTCCCCAAAACCAACAAAGAGAGAAGGCTGGAGTTTGGACTTCCAGCCTCCCAACCTGTGAGAGAATAAACCCATCTACTTGTGATATTTGTTATGGCAGCACTAGAGAACTAGGTAACTTCAGACATATTGTCAGGAGGGACTAGTCACTGGAGAAGGATATCATGTTTGATAAGGTGGCGGGTTGGAGAAAAAGAGGAAGACCCCCAGTGAGATGGACTGGCAAAGTGGCAGCATCAGTGGGCTCAAGCGTAGCAACAACTGTGAGGTTGGTCCAAGTGTTCTGTTGTCTATAGGGTCACTGTAAGTTGGTACCTTCTCAAAGGCACCTAACAACAACAAGATAACTGAAACAGTTCCCTTTGACCCATAATTATTTAGAAGTGTGCTGTTTAATTTCCAAGTGCATGGAGATTTCCCAGTTATTATTTTGCCATTGATTTCTAGTCTAATTCCCTTATACTCAAAGAACATGCTTACAGCTAACCAAGAAACCCATAACTGACTCAAAATACATTTTTGTATAAACTGATCAGCATATCTTGCCCATGATGACAACGAAAACCTTTTAATTTGTTACAGAAATCTAGTAAATCACAGTTGAACAAAGTCCAATCCTTTTTCTTTTTCCTTTTGCAGGTGGTTTGACTGACAGCTTGGGTAATCTAAAGAACATTATGAGGCTCATACTGGACAACATTAAGATGAATGAGGAGGATGCTATAAAACTAGGTCAGAGTTTCATTCATTTTATTTTTATTATAAAAACCATTTAAGACTATTTGGCACTGGCTGTGTCTGTACAAGTTCGAGATGTATTTATGTGATTGTAACTACATTAGCTTTCCTAGACACTTTTCCCCACTCCTAGTTTCATCCTTCATCACCATTTCATGTAAACTGTACAATCACTAGATTGTAACCCCCTGGGGTTTTTAATTTCCAATCTGGTTATCCATTGTATTCAAAGCATAGAAACAATTTAAAAATGAATAAGTTTGTATCATGATTTCAGAGTCTTGCTGTGGCCCTGTAGGATAAGTACTCAACCTCAAGGTAGGTTTGAACTGCAATGTCGGTGGCTCAAACTCACCAGTTGCTCCTCGGAAACCCTATACGGCACTTAACAACAACATCAAGATTCCATAATTAAATAAGACTTCATAAATGGAGTGGTACTCCAGATAGGATGTGTATGAAGAAAATCAGAAACACAAGAAGAATATATGACTGCTCACAGGAGCCCAGGACCTTCAGGATAGGTGGATTTCTGTTGAAATTGTTTTCTCCAATATCCCTGCTTTTTTCTGCACTGATTTTCCCTGTTTAAACACATAGTAAAAATGCTCTCTTCCCTCAGCATTCTTTTTCCCTTCTGCTTCTTGCCCAAAGGTAACCATGTTGTTAGTATTATCAAGTTGGTTCTGATTAATAGCAATCACATATAGGGTTTCTGAGGAACGGCTGGTGAGTTTCAACCATCATCCTTATGGTTCAATCCAACCTTGTGATTTAGAGCTTATCCTGTAGCACCACACCAGGACTCCATATAAGGCAACCGTAGCCTATAATTAAAACCTGGCTGACCTCTTTTTAAAAATTTATGTAACCCACATAAGAACAAGCAAATTAATGCAGTTGGTCAGTCAACACTTACTGCATGCCTATGGGTTTTACAGAATATTTGAACTGGAAAAAGTTTGTGAACATCTAGCTCAACTTTCTCATTTGCTGAAGATTTCACTGAGACCAAGAAAGGTACATTGAATTGTCCAAAGTCTCACTATTTGGTAGAGAAAGGGTTCAATAAATACTTTCCAGGAAAGTCTGGTTCTTCTATTAAAGGATCAAAATCTGAGCTTGAATAAACCAGTCTAATTATATTAATAATAATTTGCTATTTATCATGGACTTACTGTGCAATAATAGGTCAAATTCTATCCTAGGTACTTTTACATACTTAATCTCACTGAATCCTGGCTGTAGTCCTATCACATAATTATAATTATCCCCAAAGCTGCAATTAAAAGGTTGAATAACTTGTCCAAACATATACAATTATTAAATAAGTAATTCAGGAACCGAACTGGCTGCAAATTCATGCTCCCAGCCTATAAGCTATGTGTACACCCATGATAACCATTAATAGTTATTGAAGGCTAATAATGTGCCAGGTACCATGCTAAGCACATTGTATATAATCTGCAAGATTGACATTAAATATAATATTTCTTTCTTATAGGCTAGAATAAGGAGCCCTGCTGGCACAATGGTTAAGCACTCAGCAAAGGTTGGCAGTTGGAACCCACCCAGTAGTACCCTGGGGAAAACACCTGGTGATCTGCTCCCATGAAGACTGCAGCCTAGAAAACCCTATGGGAAATTCTATTCCTTCCCATGGGATTGCTTTGAGTCAGAATCAACTCAATGCCACCTAACAACAGTCACAGACTAGTGTACCATCAGCAGACAGAAACATTTTAATAACACAGAGCTCTGCCTAATTAGGAGACCTGGTGTGGCACTGCAGGAGAAGCACTGGACTGCTAACCACAGGTTGGTGGTTCAAACCCACCTTGGAAGTCCTATACAGGATGGCTATGAATCTGAATCGACTCAACACCACTTAACAACAACAACAACAACATTCCTAATTAATCCCAAACTCTACATTAAGTCTTAAGAGTGAGGGGCATTTTAGAATATTTCCCATTGTACTATTGATATAAAATAAATCTGTTGCATTGAACGTGATCTTCCAATTTTAAAGCATGAATCAGTCCCCATACCATGAGATCCCAGGTGAAGTTTTATGAGACTGGGGCCAGTTGCCCTGGAAGCACACCAAGGAACTGCCCTTCTAGATTCAACCACACTCTTTGTAGGATATTTGAGGGAATTAAAGAATCTTTTTTTAAAAAAACCTTATTCTATGAAAAGAGTACACATTGATATACATAAAACCCCTACATACTTACTTTAGCTGTTTTTCATGCTAGAGAGCAGCCTCATCATAAGTGACCTCTATATGGTCCAGGAGACTGGAAAGTGGTAGTTGAAAGAAAAACAACTTTCTATAACATGAGGTCAATACAGAAAGAGCATGGGAAAGTGCCTGCACAATTGTTGTTTGCCTTTTTTTTACAGTCCAGTAATCTATATTTAAATCAAATTAACGTGGTATCTTAATGCATTTCCTTTCTTTTGGTTCGTAGCTGAAGGTCTAACAAACCTGAAGAAGTTGTATTTGCTCCGTTTGACCCACTTGTCTGACATTGGAGAGGGAATGGATTACATAGTCAAGTCTCTATCAGCCAAACCGTGTGACCTTGAAGAAATCCAATTAGTCTCCTGCTGTTTGACTGCGAAGGCCATGAAAGCCCTAGGTAACTGTTGTCTACTTACTGAATGGGAACAGTGTAATAGAACATGTGGTGCTTTTATACTAATGTCCATTTAGGAGGATAGGAATCTCTCCAAGGGAAATTTAAAGAGAAACTGGGAAATATAATCAAGTCTTCCAGGTAATATTCAGTCTGTTTTTTAATGTCTTTCTCCATGACCCTTTATTCGAATTATTTATAATCTATTACAGATGGGTTAAAAAAATCTCAGAATAACCAAAGATGTTACAACTTTAAAAGAAGGTGAAAGGGAAGAAATTAAATTGGTGCTTAAAACTTGGCATACATTCTGTCTTATAACTGTTGTTGTCAGATGCTGTCTAACCAGTTTTGACTCATAGTAACCCTATGTACAACAAAACACTGCACCATCCTACACCATCTACACAGTCATTGCTATTTGAGCCCATTGCTGGAGGCACTAGGTCAATCCATCTAATTAAGGGTATTCCCTTATACACTGACCCTCTACTTTACCAAGCATGATGACTTTCTCTAGAGACTGGTCCCTCTTGATAACATGTCCAAAATACATGAGACAGTCTCACTGTCCTTGCTTCTAAGGGTTATTTGACTGTACTTTTTCTAAGACAGATGTGTTAATTCTTTTGACAGCCCATGGTATATCAGTATTCTTCACCCATACCATAATCCAAAGGCATCAGTTTTTCTTCAGTAGTTATTCATTGTCCAGCTTTCACATGGATAGTTATTGCCTAATAAATGCTTGGTTGAATGGTTAAGTGAATGGTTGTGAGACAGAAGAGATTTCCTTAAATGGTCTCAGTCCTTCCAATTCTTATGCATTGCCCTATTAAGGTTGCGTTGGAGTCCTGGTGTGGCACTGTAGGATTAGCACTGGACTACTAACCACATGGCCAACCATTCAAACCCATCAGCCACTCCTCAGAAAGCTTATACAGGGAAACTGTGAGTCAGAATCCATTGGACAGTACTTAACAATAACAACACTGTACATTAATATAGCAGTTAATGCTTTGGAGTTTCCAAAGGGTGTGCAAACCAACTCTAAAGAAACCTTTCCATATTTCTGTCTTAAAAATTGAATATTTTCAATTCAGAAATGTTTTTGGAAACATGTTGTAGAGTGTGGAAAATAAGATGACCTTACCATTTTTTAATTAGACTATCAAACTGTTGGGAAGTCTGTAAAATTTGCTAAAGAAACCATTTGTATGCTAATTTTAAAGATAGAGAAAACCATGATCAGGAAAGACTAGCCAAATACTGGTAATATGAGAATGATGAGCATTCCTTTACTTCTCTGTTTGCCACTAGAGAGACAGGCTTAGAACCAAAAATAGCCAGTGTCACCTTTAAAAAGGGAGGCTAGCACTTTGTTTTGTTGTTGTTTCATAAGAGAAGATATTTTGTTCTAAGCACTCAGATAATTAATTAAAAATAATAATTGCTAGTAGCATAGTGGTTACGAATCGGGCTGCGAGCCGCAGGGTCAGCAGTTCGAAACTACCAGCTGTTCCGCGGGAGAAAGATAAGGCTTTCTGCTCCCGTAAAGATTTACAGCGTCGGAAACCCTGTACAGGGTCGCTATGAGTCGGAACCGACTCCAC